AAACACTTTGATATAAGCAGATAGCTACAGACAGACGTAGGCCGTTGTGGGCAAGCGTATTAAAGTATACCCTTATTATTCTCGAGTCTAGCTGTGTCGGTTGAAATTTATTTCACGGCGAACCGACAGAATCTCGACCTTCCCATTCGAGTGAGAAAACATTTGTTTGTAATTATAATAGAAACAAATAAAATACACACAAATGAATAAAAACTACAGATAACCAATTTTGTTCCTTCATCTATAACAAAAACGTAAAATTTTTTTTTTTACATTTCCTGCATGAATACAAAGCTTCCCTAACCCCCGTAGAAAACAAAAATAATGTAAAATAAGTCATATAATTATTACGATTTCCAATTATAGAGGTCTCATAACTAAAGGATACCTACATTGGGTCAGAAATTGAATCTTATTGAATTTGTCTCAATCTTTAAAATCAGTTTGGGAAATCAGTTTCTATTAAAACAAAAAAATAAGTTCGTATAGTAAATAAGGAGTGTTCAGTTCGTTTCAGAAGTGGCCATTTACAGAACAACCAATGAGTTAGACGGATTCGAATCTCCTGACTTGATCTAACGTGGTGGTTACTTATCATTTTTCGAAGGGAACATCAAAAAGACGGATTTAGTCGATTGAAAGTGACCTGAACAAATATTATTTTAATTATTGAATGTTTAATAGTTGACCGTTGCATTATAAAGGAAGGAGACGGTCCGGGATGGTGGTTATACATATTCTAAATACTGGCAAAATTATTTTATTAAAAGCCAACGTTTCGACCCGACTTTGCAGGTCTTCATCAGAGAGGTGTGTTGAGCTAGGAGTTTCACTTAAAACTGGAGTTTTGAGTCACTATTTAGCCTATTTATGACCATGGCGGCGGTCATCTCCTTCCATTATTTTAATTTTAATTTTTTTTTAATCTATTTATTCAAGATATTTAAAACTGTATTACAATATAAATACATCAAGTAAATGTGTACACAGGAATAAAATCACATGAACACGCTTGTTAAGAAACTACCCACTAGTAGCACTCAAATAATATGTCTATATAAGGAGATCACGGGGCCATCTTCTTTTCAGACACCTCGATGTGTTATCAGGAATCAAAGAGGAAGCAAGGTCAGAAACAAGAGGATTCGGATGGTTATGAAGTTTATTATGGAAGCATAGGTATCTGGATTGGGCCAAATCGGAAACATACGGAGCATTAAGATCTTTATGGATTATTTTATTTGTGACAAAGTAAGGAGCATTGAGGATTTTACGAAGGATTTTGGATTGTAAATTATTTTTAAAAAATACAGTATTGAAAGTACCACAAAGCTATTATGTATTTTAAAAATAAATTGTGTCCTAATTATAAAGTATTTATATTGTTGAATTTAAGTTACAACTAAGCCCCACAGCCTAACATTATCAAGTTGCAGCTGCGGTCGTGCCTCGGCCACGAAGAGCCTCCGGTTGGGGCATAAGGTCCCAGGAGCCCATAAATCAACAGAGAAGATAATTTGCCTAGGCCTATCTCCCGATGATAGGGGGGGCCGCGGGGGGCGGGGAGGTCGTCTGCTGAGCCCAGGATTTATTACAAACGGCCATCTTCATTAGCTTCCTGGTTATTTCGGTCGACAAACTGCCGGAAGATGAACCGCTCCTTTCCGCAACAAGGTGGTAATGAGGCCTTCTTCATAATGTACACTCAGCTGAGAGAAATATGGGCACTCTTTTGAGTCTGTGAAGAGATTAAATGCAACTCTGAAAATGTATTTGTTATAGCAAACTTGTTCTCTGAAGTTTTCTTGTTTTTCAGTAAATACAACTATGTATTCGCATGTGCCAGAATAATTCATTTTCAAGAATGCTTATAAAGATTTTATGTTGAATAAAATATAGTCGATTTATTGCAAAAATTCACTAAGTGAAATTTTTTTTTGCGGGTTATATTTCTAGTATGTTTTTGTGAATTTCGACTTAATTTATCGATACTAAAGTACCCATAAAAGAATGAAAATGACACAAAATCTTTTAAATATCAAATGAAACCATCAAATTTCTCTCGTATCCAAACCCTAAAATCCAAAATCCTTCGTAAAACCCTCAATGCTCCCTACTTTGCCACAAATAAAATCATCCCTAATGACCTTAATGTACCATATGTTTCCGATTTAGCTCAATCGAGATACCTATCCTTCCATAATAAACTTCTGAACCATCCGAACCCTTTTGTTTTCAACCTTGCTTCCTCTTCTATCCCTAATAACCCCCCGGGGCGTATGAAAAGAAGATGGCCTCGGGATCTTCTAATATAGAAATATAATTGGAATGCTACCAATGGGTAGTTACTCTTCGTGTTGTACATGTCATGTTACTTATTTCATATTTACTTGTTGTATTTGTCATTTAATACAGTTGCAAATTTCAATAATAAATATATATATATAAAAAATATATCAAATATAGTAACGACAGGCATACAATTTTCTGATTTCCTAAAAGAAAAATTATTTAAAATTCTTTATTTTTTAAGGTTTCAATCTCTTACATAATGACTTTTCACGATAAAACGGCGATTTTTAAATATGCATAATTTAATATAATTCATTAAAAAATGGCTTTTGGCCAGCTTCAGTATTGTCATGAAATTCCTATGATTGTTATATGATAGTGAAATAGAATTTTTGTCCCGATGAAAATTCATAAGGATCCAGGAGGTGATGGAATTACCACCTACTTAAATATGGTGGCAAAGAGCTATTATTAGACCATTTATGAAATTCACCATCTGGAGACAGGAAAGAATGACTCTTATATAGAAATATGCGGTCATATGATCTGTAAAATGACAATGCTGGATGTCCAGTGCAGAATACGCATTCATTTGGAATACTACTCGGAGTTTGCCATCAATAAAGGAATGAGACAAAGCGATGCTTTGGCGTGTTTATTATTTAATTTGGCACTGGAGAAGGTGACAAGGGATTCTGGCATTCAGACTACATGCATGGCATTTACAAATTTGGTTCAATTGTTAGGTTACGCTGACGACATAAGTAGTTAGTTGTTGACTGTGCTTTGTAGCTCTCGAGGATGCCTTTCTGGTATTGCAGAGAGATACATCTATGATGGGATATTATTAATATATTACTAGTAGGCCCGTGCGAATAATTCGCACAGCATATTGTTATCAAATGCCAGATTGATAAAATGCAACCTATCAAAAGATAAAGAAATCAAATGTTACTTTATCGATAAATATAATCGACAAAGAAAACAAAAATTAATTTAAATCTTCATTTTTGTTTGGAACCAACATGTTTAAAAATTTCAATAAGCTGTATCTTTGCTAAAACTTGTCCGATTTCAATGATTTTTTTTTTTCCTTTTGTAGGGAATTTAGTAATCTTTTATATAATTATGGAGGGAAAAGTGTGTATTATTTTTTTTTATTTCTATGAAAATTCGTGTTTGAGACTTTATAGAGGTGCGAAATACAAATCTCAACTCTGTTTTCCCTTAAAAAAATATTTGAACCCACTTTCCTCCTTCGTTCAGTACAAATTGTTTCAACATCGTACTGATACTATAGCTATATGCCAAATATATAGTTATTTTCAAATGAAATGGGCTATAATTGAACTTTCCTAATGAATATTAATCGAAAATAAGAAAAATTAATAATAAAATAAAAATAAAATATTGGAAAAATTTCGAATCGATTTCGATGATTTTTTTTTTCATTGTGTAGGGAATTTAGTAATCTTTTATATAATCATGGGAATAACCGAGGGAAACGTGTGTAATTTTTTAGTTATTCGCAAATAAAGTTTGTTTTCTTTTATAACTTTTTTGCCTGAATTTTCGGGATGATTGGACTATTTTGTCCGCCTGAAGGAGAAGGAAGCCTTCGAAATTGGTGGCTTGATCTTGAGATTTGGTGAAAAATTGACGATGATATGGCTTGCCGATCAAAAACACCATCGATAAATAATATAAACTCCTCCTCTCTCGATCATAGAGACCTCAAGTCGACGAAATGAGACATGTATTCAATGACAGTACTACAATTAATGTAAGGTTGTGTGGATGCGAACTCTTTGCCTTGCGTTATCTCGAAAATAGTACGTTTTGGGGCTTCTAAGGCCAATTTGTCCCGTATCGATCAACAAACTTACCACCGTTCCATTATTGAAGTCAAGCAAAATGTTTGTATCGACTTTCTTTATTTTAGAAAGAAGAACAAAAGTGGAGAATACGATTCGCTAACCCCACGTGAAATCCCGAATCCAACGTTACCCCATTCATGGTATTTGAGCATGTTTTTTTTTTTTTGTTTTCTCTCATGCCAGTCGTTGGTTATTTGGCCATCCGACATCTTGCTGCCCAGTATAATTTAGACTTTCTAATATATATATTTGAAAATATTTTTTCTCTTATGTCCCTCAAGGCAGGACATGCATCTAGATGATCTGCATCCATTGTTCCTAGATGACACAATTTACAGGTAGGATTCTCAGCCACAACTATCTTGTAGAGATGACTCTGCAGATAGTCGTGACCAGTAGCCAGGCGGAAGCAGGCAACTGCATCTCTTCTCGGCAGTTCAGCTGGAATCGGATTATCCTTCAAACACTCATAACGTTTCCCTTCCACTTCGTTCAAATGTGCTTTTCTTATTTCTTCCTTCACTACCATCTTTACCATTCGCCGGATTGAGTCGTAAGGTTTTGGATGTATCGCCTGAGACAAATCTGTTCCTCGCTTGGCAAGAATATCAGCCTCAACGTTTCCCGGAATCCCACAATGGCTGGGGATCCACTGTAGGGCCACATTGGTGCCTCAGTGTAGTATTTGAGCATGTCAGGAGCATATATTTGGTACAAAACCGATTTTGAGTCTTACTGTAATAATATATGTGGGAATATGATATAACCTAGAAACTTTAAATATAATAGGGAGATAATATTTTCTTTTAGCAATCGTGATAAGAGAGATCCTTACAGTGAGGTAACGTTATAAGAAGGTAGGACGAAGCATTGAGTGGATACCCCTCGGGGACCAGGTGCTGAGTTCGGGGCCTGGCACGTGGCTGCCTCCTCTGGCACACCTGGAGCTCCTTCCTGGCCCATTAGCCTGATGGCCCTTTTATTGCTAATGAATTATTAGTTAACATATATCATGTATCATGTTTCCTCTTTAAATTGTGTAAATTATTTGAAATTTATGTTTTTTGGTTAGTCATATGTGAAACGCTTATTATTGAGTAATATTAGGTTGTCCCATAAGTTCTTCCCCTTTCTTTATTTGTTGTTTAATCTCTACTTACTGTGTTATATATGAACCCTTCTTCCTTCTCTCAGGAGGCTTCTTATACTCTTTTTTTTTCAAAATTATTGAGAAAATACCTGCAAAATATTCATCGAGATGCGTTTTTATTTCGCTTTGGGACTTTTGACATTTATAACGGAGACAATGTTTTAACGAAAGAAACAAATAATAATCGGATGGGGCAAAGTCTCGAGAGTACGGAGGATGAGGAATAATTTCCCTATCAAACTGTGAGCGTTTTCCTCTTACAGCCAATTCCGCATGTTTCGTTGAATATAAGACAGAAACTCTTACAGTTTTATTAGGACTTTCTATCTCATCCTTCGTATTCTCCGGATTTTACCCCATCCGGTTATTACTTGTTTCTTTGGTTAAAAAAATTTCCCTGGTATAAATATCAAAAATTCGAAAGCGAAAACTTTGTAAGTACACACAATTTTGAAAAAAAAAATGGCATAAGAGGCCTCGTGATATATTTAATGAACCTTAAACATCAAATAAAGAGGATAAGGGAAAGAACTTAAGAACCTAAGGAAGAGCTAATACATTCAGTATAAAGATATGAATAGTAATGAGAAAAGAGTTCATTCACATTATATTTGCACAAAATATAAATAAATGAAATTAAAGCAAAATAAAAAATAAATACATTAAACTAACACCGTAAAAACACAGGCATACTTATAATATTTATATTTATCTTGTTTGTTTGTTTCGATATCTAAATGAAAAACATCTAGGTTATCGAGGCTCTTTAGCTGGATGTACAAAAAAATAAAAATAAATTAATTAATAAAATAAAATTATAAATAAATACATTTAAAATAATAATAATACGAAGATAAAATAGATAAATAAAAAATAATAATAAAATAAATAAACGAAATAAAATAATTAAATAAAAAACTTTAAAAAAATAATTAAATTACGGGGTGGAGATGCGTCAGTCGAGTTTTACATTTAGCAAGGTAAGCTCTGAAACAAAATTTTCCCTCCATTTCGAGAAAGCGAGGCTTCACAACCGCAGACTTTCTGTGAACGGTAAGTTGTATATATGTATAATATTTTTCGATTTAGAATCAAATAAACAAAAATTAGTTTAAATCTGTGACCCACTTTGTCTTGTGAGAGACATTCTTACATGAAATATACACTGGAGCGCAAACATTCCCTAAACTATTTAGAAGTTATCAATTTTAATAACAATATTGTAAAACCTTTTGTACTTTTACTGTAAATAAATCACATGTTCGTCCACTATTAACATCGCCCGAGTTAAATCCGTGTCGAAAAAGTTTAGAGAAAAGGGCTTAATGACTTAAGCTTAGTAACTGGAAAGGGATCAGGGAGGCACTTTGAGCTGCCTCAGCGGAGGATATATTAGAGCCACCCGGGTCATCAATCGGAGGTGAACCACTGGCCTTCCATTTGTCAGCCAGCCACTAATTTGTGTGCCTCTCTTCCAACTGTGCCGCTTCAACTTTCTTCTCGAAGTCCTCAAAACTTATTTCTTTCGAGACGATTTAACGTTTTATTACATAGCTGAAGAGGATTTTTTTTTTTACTAAATAGATATTAAGATTAACAACCTAATTAAATAATTAAGAAAACAACGACAGGATGTGAGAAAGCTAATATTACTCTTTTTTAATCGTATTTCCCCCAAAATATGGACCATTGTGTCGACGGTCATCGGACCCTTGTGGGATTTAGACAGTGTGAGTCAGATTTTTGATTGAAGATTGTTTCATCTCTCCCTTTGATGGACACCTGCAGCATTTTTAATACTTTGAATTAGTAAATCTCGAATGCCTTCATTTACTTTACATGCTTCATGTTTAAACCAGCCCCATAGATAATAATCCAGTGTTGTGAGGTCTGGAGATCTCCGAGGCATAATAATTGGATCACTGCGACCAATCCTACGATCTTGAAATCTTTCATCCATATATAGCCATTTGACAAGAAAAATGGGCGAAAGCTCCTTTCTGCTGCAAGTCCATTTGCATTCTGAGGTTTAGAGAAAAATCCTCTATTAGTCTTTGTCAAATAGTATAAAATATATGTAGTAGTCTTTTGAGAGGCGGTTTTCTAAAATGAACTGAAAGTCAACCGTCGCTCTTTGAAGATGAAGCAAAAATTGTTAAGTAGGTATTATCATGGTAGTATGGTTGTATTATGGTGTTATTATTAAATATTTATTCAAATAAGACTTCGATAACCGGAATGCTAATGTATGAAATATTGTTTCTTTGTAATCAGCCAATAAAATTTAAAGAAATGGAAATCGGATGTCAAAAGTACATATGGGTATTTCAAAATAATTTTTCTGTGTACGAATCAACCCTGGAGTTATCCCGTCCCTCCCTTCTCACCGGGTATATAGATTTTTCTCTGTTTTTAAAGTTTTACGCATCTCTACAACCCCTCCGAATAAAGTTAGAGGGTTCATACTCCAAATTATTTGTGGATTGAGTGGGAGTTAGGAAAGTCCCTTTTGCCACGGGTGGATCTACGGGGAGGGGAGGCTTTGGGGCTGAAGCCCCCGCCCCCAAAATTAAATCTTGGATCCGCTAGTGGCCTGTGCTATGTTGACCTAATTAACAATTAGGTAAATTTGGAGACATTTCATAAAATCTTCAATTTACGATTGATTTTAAATGAGAAAAAAAACTCGCAAAGAGACAAGCATTAAATCTTAGGTTATAATTACAAAAATCCAACCACACAGCATTGTGTCTCAGAAATACAGATAAAAAACTGACTAACCTAGTTCACTATTCGCCAATTCAGGCATCATTAGGACAATAACACTTCAATTCATGACATCTAAACACATATGCGCAGACTCATGTGAAAGAAGCGCTGGGATCGAGTGAAGCTTTGCGCATAAGCGCAGACTTCGAAGAGAGAGGGGGATGGCGATAATATAGTTTTAAATAAGAGGTTTAAGGCGGTTATCTTATTAAGTTTGAAGTTGCCGTTGTCGAAGTGTACTTTAGCCAAATTAATACGGATAGGATGACACGGTGTATTGTAAGAATCGCGCTGTTCTAGAGAGAAGATGAAGGTTGGAGGTAGCAATTGGCTTACTAATTGAGATCAACTACTGCCCACTGCCCGTTCGCTAAGCAGGAAACTGGAAGCTGGAAGATACTAATTGGCGTGGCAGACATTCTGGCGTCCGAGTCATCGTGATGGAGAACTAACCAGAATAACAGCATCTTAAAATAGCCAGGCTCTGGCTTCCTCAAGGTTCTCCCGCTTGAGGGCTTTATTTTATTTTGTATATATATATTTATTTATAGTTTTATTATTAATATTTCTTTTTATGAACTTGATGAAAGAGTATATTTGCCGTGTTATTTTATACATACGAGTTGCACATGCTCAAAATTCAATAAGTAAATGTTTTTTTATTTTATTTATTTATTGAAATTTACATCTATTTAAACAAATACAACTAATAAATATGAACAAATCAGGAATAATGACATGAACACAAAGGTGCCCATAAGGAGGTTCGGTGTTGCAAATTTCGGTGGGATTATGGGTTTTTGGAATAAAAAGTTTCATACAAGGGACAAGGGGAAAAGATGGAATAGACCGCATCATATATAATCTACGATTTTTCTAATTCTATCTTCGCTTGTGAGGAGACAGATTTTTGCGCCATCGACTCTGGGAGAGTGGTAGGGATGGGTACCCCTGCATGAACAGAGATGTGAAGACACTACCCATTGGTAGCACTCCCTAAATTGTTCTAAGACCAGGTCATCTTCTTTTCTGAGGCCTAGGAGGATCATAAGGAACCTAAGGAAAAGCAAGGCTGGAAAATAGTGTATTCGGATGGAACTGGAATATGTCATGAAAGGATAGATATCTGGCTCGGACCAAATCAACTAAATGGTTTTTAACCTTAATCTTTATGAATGGTTTTATTTGGAACATTTAGGTTTTCATGAAGGATTTAGGATTGTCAATAAGTAAATGTGAATTTAGATAATGTATGACTTGGACAGACTTGTAGAAAAATACCCATTGATAGTGCTCCAATAATAGTTCTATATTAGTAAGTCCCCACGGCATCTTATGATCAGGAATCGAAAAGGGTTCAAAGTTAAAAACTTTTGGGTTTGGATGGGCCTGGACATTATGATGGAAGGACAGCTATCTGAATTGGGTTATGTCGGCAACATAGGGAACGTTGTGGATAATTTCATTTGGGACAAAGTAGGGAAAGTTGAGGCTTTTAGATTGTAAGGAGAAGAATTAGATAATCAAGTCAATACATATTTCCAAATAGGTTTTACTATAGTCACGTAAATTATCCTTTTGTAAATAATTCGTGACTTAGAGCGTTACCCATGAACTTAATACTTTAAATATAAATATTTTAAGTGCCATGTAGTTTTTCATGTCCGCTCAGAATTGTAATATAGAATAGTTTTTTGAACGATTACTTAAACTTTTTTTTTATTATTATTATTTATTTATGGTATTTACAACTGTATTTAGAATAATAATATATTCAGTAAATGTGATAACAGAAAATAATAACATGAAAACACTTTATGTAAACTTAATATTAAAATTTTACATATAGTTTTCCCGTGATCTAATAATGTAGACATATCATTAGAGTGCTACTATTGGGTAGTTATTCAGCAAGTGTTTTCATGTCATTATATCCATTATGTTCAAATTTACTAGATGTATTTATTTAATACAGTTGTAAATATCATTAAGAAATAATAAAAAAATCCACAGTTTTTGTGAGTTCCATTTCATTACTTGGAAACATTCATTTTCCCTTAAATAATAAAAATGTATACCCATTGTTTATATTTAGCCGTATCCTATAACTATTAACAATGAAAGGTACGAACTACAAACTAGATCAAAGGTAATTTAGAGGAAGCCATTTCGAAAATTCCAGATTATTAAAAGCCCTGTCAGGTTATTTCTATGATGTTATTAAAGACAATCTAATTTTAAAAATCGATGATATTAAGTGGCACTTTTGGTCTGTTGATTTTAAAGAAAAAATTGCTGTAGCGTTCCAGGTATACTAAACTTCAATACATATTTTCAGTTTCGTATGAATATTTGTTTTTGTGGTAGACTGTTCACATATACGTACGCAGATCACGCTCATCCAGAATTTAATTTTGGTGGAGAGGAGTTTCAGCCGGAGTTTTCATATATATATATATATATATATATATATATATATATATTATATATATATATATATATATATATATATATATATATACATATATATATATATATATATATATAACGACAATTATTAGGAAAGAAAAAGAAAAAACTAAACTACCTATATGAAATGTTTTTTATTATAGTTCTTATTACAAATGCAATCATACGAAAAATAATACTTTTTAAAATATAATACTCTACATACTGACCTCCATCTTCCAACAGTTGACCAACATATGACAACCCTCTATCGACGATTTTACACTAATTTAAACGGACATAATAACTAATAAGCGACATGGCCACAGCTGACATACCTCAGAACATGAGGAGGAGACTAAAAATGCGTTGGATGTGTGATCTCCTTTCTTAAACAGCCTAAGCAATGGGGACAAGTTAGGGAAGAGGTACTGCTGAGTACTTTCCTGTATCGCCAGCACATTTACTGATTGTCTACAATAATTTGACAGGCGCAAATACATTTTTTTTTGGAAAAAAAAATACTTTTGGACATAATTTTATTGCGATTTGTTACTTCTCAGTCTTATAAATATGGATATTTCTTTTCTGGCCAGCGTTACACTTGTGTTGGAAAGCACGGGCGTAAAGAGATATAGTATAGTGACGTATAATGATCTTTGCCTTTCGAACATGACTCCTAGGCATATCCGTCCTGCCATTCACTAATAAAGTTTTTTTTAACATACGTAATATATTCGTTTATAAGGTTGTTTTGAATATTTTACTCTTCATGAATCCCGTTATGCTATCATGTCAGCTCGTTCATTCCTATACAAACCTATATGATCTGGAGCCCATTGAACCTTAAATTTATTATTTTTACCTACATTACTTTTTTTGAAGTCAGTCCTATATATATGTATCTAATTAACTTATCTAAATTCTTTTTTCATGTATCAGGCGGATGGGTTCTTTTACAGGCTCTAGATTAATTTAGTTCTTTCCAATTTTCTAAGCATTATTGAACTCCATCATATTGAAACTTTAAGGCTTATTGAAAATAACCACAGCCCCTAATACCATCCTCTCCCTTTCTTCTTTAGAAGTGGATTTTAAAAGTGTAAATTAGTTTGATGGAGGTCTATTGAAGATTGACGGGGACTGGCTGAATCTCCATAAAGGGATAATGCAAGGCCTACTAAAGTTTCCCTTAGACTTCCCTTCTGCTTTTAAGATACTTGAATCAGGCTCAGCGCCCTGTTCCCAATTGACAACTTCGCCCTCTTCGCCTGTATAGTTGTTAGTTGGCACGAGTGGGGGCCTAAACAATATCCAACTTGGTAAACCTGCTTATGTCTGCTTGCTCCTGCCCTGTTCTGTTTATTAGGGATGCTTTCAGCCAGTTATTTTAATCTAGATTTAAATAAGTTAAATCAAAACTTTTGTCAATGATTATCTACGAAAACTGAAATAAAACTATGTAATTCTGTTTCAATACAGCCCACAGTGGTCTAAAATCCTTGTTTTTAAGATATTCTGATAACTTAACTTTCCATGTTTGCAATGTGGGACACAGTTAACTCATATATTCCAACAGTTTGGTCATGAAGAAAAGTATTGGTTTCCATTATCTTCACTAAAGTTTAAAAAAAAACAACCTGTTTCTACCAAATTAATTTTGCAACTAGTTATATACCATTAAGGTGATTTAGATTTCCTCACCTGTGCTATTTAATTTGGTATTAGATCATCCCATTAGAGAGGTGATACATACTTAAAAAGGTTTGAACCTGGGTGGAACAATATCTGTGCTCGGGTATGCTGATGATTTAGTACTGTTAAGCGAAGACATGGAAACAATAAAACTAAATAGAACAACGTTGATGGAAGCCGATAAAGAACTAAGACTCGAGATAAAGTCGGATAAGACAAAATATATTGTAGGCCGCAAAAACAGCGACAATTTCGATTATATCGATATAGAACACTTACAGAATTTTAAGTCTATTGAATAAATAATTGAATAAATTGAAGAGGATATTCAGGTTAGGCTGAAGGCGGGAATTTTTATCTTCGGGAATATTTTTCTTTGTCAAAATTACTTAGTTCTCGCCTCCTGTTCCGAAACCTAAAAATTAGAATTTACAAAACCGCATCCTACCTACGGTTCTGTATGGATGCCAAACGTGGCCGCTTACAGTAAGAGATGAGCAACGTCCTAAAGTTTTTAAAAATGAAGTATTGCGCATAATATTCGGACCGAAAAAGGATGAATCAGCCGGAGAATTTCTACATAACGCTTAATTGCGTGAACGGTATCCGGTTAATACAATTTATGTAAAATCGCTGGTTTTAGTAACGAAAGAATTCTTTAAAAAATGATATGCGCTGGCAAGCTTCCAAGGGGTAGACCAAAGCGAAGATGGGTAGATTGCGTTAAGGCTGATTTGGCGGGGTTTGGTTAAGACGGAGCCCGGTGGTGGAAGAATGTGGAAATCGATTGGTGGTATCGGCATCGAACCTTCGGGTTCGCTAAGCCTTATTATTATTATATACCAATAAATATATTTTTGTTTTTTTCTTCAGTTCTGAAAATAATTTTTTGTTGTGGAATTTGTTTAAATGAATCAAATAAGTTGGTAAATTAATTATTTTTTTAATGAATTATAAAATTTCATAGGATAGGTGATCACTTAACGGATACTGGAATTTCTTATTTCTAAGGGATAAGTACCTTGCGTCAACGACCGCCAAGGTCTTACTGTAATCAAAACATTCTTTAAGCCCTGTGCGAATGATGGAAACAAAAATCAGCTGCGGTTTTGGTAATTATCTGGTATATTCATTCAAGAACTGCTGTTCGAAAAACAGACATCCTACCTATGCATAAATAAATTTATACCTAATATAATTTATTCCTTTCCATCTTAGAAAAATGGAGAAAAGGCGTAGAAACAAATAAACTGAAAGAAAATATGAAGGGGCAGAT